CGGACAGCGAATTGCGCACTGGACGAACAAAAACCGGATCTTTCGCTCGGAGCTAACTCCAATTGTGTAGCTATGCCTGTGGCCATGTAAGTTTGACACCTAGAGATGGATGAATGTATATAGAGATAAATGACTTTATGGCTACGTATGTATACAGCTATGCAGGCATGCACGCATGTACACATGTATTTATGTATGTATGTAGGTAGGTAGGTAGGCAGGCAGGCAGGCAGGCAAGTAGGTACTTCTATTTCTATATCTATATCTGTTTGTATACACTACTTGTATACACATATATACATTTATATATTTATTGATTCATTTATCTATTTACATGTTCGTGTGAGCATATGTTTTAAGTCTGAGACTTTTTGCCATAACCCAAAGCCCAAAACCCAAAAGCCCAAAACGGCAACGCTGGGGTCCTCCACCGGAGCGCCTCGCCAGAAAAGGGTGTCACTCCGGTTCTGCCACCTTTTGGGTTGAGGGTTTTTGGGCTTAGGGTTTAGGGTGTGGGNNGGGGGGGGGGGGGGGGGGTTGAGGGTCGCTAAACCCTAAACCATATAGGGTGTACAGGGTCAAGGCAGCCTAGCAGGTTTCTCACACCGCGAAATACTAAACCAAAAGCCCAGGAGGGATTCTTTGGCTCAGCTACTTGGGGTCCTTGAGATCTGAATCTAACCTGCCTAGGTTTTTGCTGTTTAAGCTGCTGTTTCGGGTCTCTGAATGCGTAAGGTCCAGGGTGCTTACTGGTAGCTGTTTGGATCATGTTCGCCGGCGCCAGATTAGAATTCGGCTTCAGGCGAAGGGTGGATCAGATATACAGTATATACATGTGCATGCATATATATAATATATATATATATATGAACATACTAACATACATATGTATATATGTAAATTATTGAATATTATTTGTATTTCTATACATACATGATACGTATACAGATATGCAGATAGATCGCATGTCTTCGACCTGGCCATAAATGCTGCAGGCGACGTCTGCTAATCACTGCAACAACATCCAGATGGCAGGATTCTGTCTTGCACTACCATCCGCAAGGGGTTATGTTCACTGCCTCATATAACAGCAATATACTTCTTCCGGAATATCCCACCTTGCCCTCACCCCCCAGTGCTGGCGGAACTCGCGAAACAGCTGGTCGTAGTTGTGGGAAATCTCGTTCTCAGACGACGGGCACATGCTCTCTGGCCAGGAGTAGAATGTGAAGTCTGGGTAGAGTACACCAGCAGGGGCTTCCTTCTTGTGTGTGATGACAAAAAACGGGAGGTCGATGTTCTGCAGCTCGCCATCTGTAAGATCAATCGTTACCTCGACATCCGGAAGGTTGTCAAATCTTGAAATCACTCGATAAATCGCATGCAGCGTGCTACGATGACGACTTTGGTATCCCGGGAACATGTCGAGGACATAGGCTGCACCGTTGACGATTCTCAGCCGAATGCATGCCTTCTGCCGCCTTGCGCAGAATCCATCGTAAAATGCCAAGTGCCGTTCATCCAGAACTTTATAAGGCTCCAAGTCTCGGTAGATCTGTGCGTAAAATTCCGGAACTTCGATGCGCGCGCAAGTCTCGGGCGGTTGTAGCGGCCGCAGAGAGAGCGAAACTGGCAGCAGAAGGCAGATCCAGCTGCATGCAGCAGGCACTCGCTGCAGAAGCATGGACGGTCTTCCGTCATGGGCACTTCCGTCGCTTGCAGCGGCTCACTGCTACTTTGGCCTGTCTTGCCAGGCACAGGCTAGACGATGTCTCTGCGATCTTGCGACTGCATGGACAACTGCACCCTGCCTGAACTACCAGGGTTTGTAGCAAATTCAGAAACTGCTCAGTCTATGGTTCCAGCTAATCGCAACTTCATTGCCGTGCGTCGTCTGGCCTTGGTAAAGGACGTTCCGAGGGTGCTCAAAGCAAAGACTCGTCGCAGATCCAGACCGAGGAAACCCAAAGCCGACAAGATTTAACGGCAGGTCCACAGCCCCCTCAAGTTCCAGCAGATCAGAAACTTGAAGCCTGGGCTTAAACACCCTAAACATCCCTAAACCCCAAACCCTAAACCCCCAACAACAAGAATCACTGACGATGCCAGGGAGAGCACTGCATTGGCCTGCAGTCGCCGGGCAAGCACTCCGTCCGTCACGACTTCTACCCGCATCCTCCGTGGCTGAAGAAGATCGGAAGCGTTTAGGGTTTAGGAGGCTTTCGCTGCACATGGCTTGGGAAGATCTCTTCTGTTGCCAAAACACTTCTGCTGCGCTGGCTGCTCCCGCCGCAGCTCTTTGAACGATTGCTGCATCTGTGGGCTGCGATTATATTCCACTTCGCATACATCTCCAGTTCTTTCACTCCCATAAACAACAAGCAACCAAGCATACAAATGGATAAACGGAAGCAAAAACGCTGGCTCAACCATATACCGGCACGGCCTGGAGGGGTCCACACAGCTGTCATACCGCGTGCGGAAGCCTTGGGTGAACGAAGAACGTGGGCTGAAAAGAGTTAAGAAGAGACGAGACTCTGGTGACTTGCGCTATGGTTGGTCCGGGCAACTTACATGAATTTCGATGGATGGATATCCAAAATCAAAACTTCATAAACCCTAATTGCCTTGTCGCACATGTCTTTGAAATACTTGCTACTTCCATAAGCAAAGCTGAGAACTGGGCCGACCGACCGACCGACCTGATCTTGCACCGGCGGGAGGTTTATGCTTGGTTTCCCGTTTCGCGTTCCAGTAGAGGGAAGAAGTCGGGGTACCGGAAAAGGTGCTGAATGAGAACAACAGCATGCCTCTCAGATTCTTAGCATGGTACTGATCCTCGATTATGCTAACACGTATGACCGTTCAGGTCATGGCGATTGTCAATGCTCTGGCTCTGGTTCTTGCTCTTGCTATTGCTACTCTTCGTGTTGTTGTGCTATGACGTACCTTAAGTTGCGAAAATGCCCGACGGCATTGACACATGTATGGCCGATCATGGCAACAATCATCGTGACAAATTTATTATTCACTGCTTTCTGGTGAGTGGCTTCGATGCCCTTCAAGACTCAACCAAAACTCTTAGGCCGTGGAGCACAGCACCCCGAAGGCAGTGGCAATCCTAACACGGCCATCAGCCGGCCATCTTCTCTGTACGCTGCGGTGCGGAACTGTCTGGTCTTGTTCTTTCGAACTACCTTCAGCTATGCGAAGGGTGGTGCCAGCAGCTCTCTCTTTGACTGAAAAATCTCAGCCATCGAGCTGAACAAACCGCCGCAAAAGGGCCTGACGTGCTGTCAGATGGTGCAGGAAGCAGCATCCGACACAGACAGCTACTGCCTGAGTGCGACAAATTCTGCAAATGACCTTGCACTTGCATCCCCAGGCCGTCGATTGGTGGAGGTTCTGTCGGACTCTTTCTACATAACAGATTCCAGCATCCGTCAGAAGTTGTCTCACGAGAATGTGCCACAACATGCAAAGGTCTGGAACGTCCCCAGCGCCGGCACGAAGGAAACAGATGCGCAGGACGCGCCAAGCGGGTGCCCCACAGAATGCCACTTTCGCAAGCTGCAACAGTCTTACAATGCTCACCAGTCTATGTAAGGAGTCTTCAGTTCAAAGCATGGTGCATTTTTGCCAAGGCTGCAAAAGCTGATGCGAGTGATGGCTGCTTGCTGTGCCGCAACTTCGTTCAACGACCTCAAAAAGACCTCAAGATTGATGGACATCCGTAAACAAACAGAGAGCAAGAGAGTGAACGACAAAGGTAGATAGACAGCTAAAACATATGTCCAATGTATGTACATACACACACACACACATGGAAATGAACACAGACCCAGCAGAAACCGCGTAAATACGCCACAACAAGAAATGCTGCCCTCCGAGCTGCTAAACAACCATCAAACTGCAGGTGTCCTCTGGAATAGCGGGGTCTCCATCATTTCTCTTCTACTATATTGCGTTATATTCGAGTCGAATATTCCGTTTATGCGACTATGTTCTTCATATTATGTGATGAGTTTGCGGTACAGTAGTATACAATACGACAACATCGTGCATTGTATTTTGTTGTAGTGTAGTATACTGTATAGTATTGCATCGTATTGTAATATAGATAGCATCATATGACGTGGTATCGTTCTATGATGTATGGGTTCGGGGGTCAAACTTTCCCGCTGCGATGTATGATGTTACTATAACATAACATAGCAGTCTCATCTAATGTCATACTATGTTATTGTCCGAAACTGGCATCGAGGGCAGATGTGAAAGGCCGCTTGTACATTCCGACAAACCGGCCAGGTTCCGTGGTACGGGTTATAAACCCATGCTCGATAGGTCCATCGTATCTCTCCAGGACTTCTCAAGCGTCGCCACAATCAACCCAGGGCTCGTGTCCGGTCGACAGTCGAACAGTCGAAAGCTTGAGCCGCTTCACAGCGATTTGTTAATTAGTAGATATGTATGTATGTATGTATGTATGTACGTATGTATGTATGTATGTATGTACGTATGTATGTATGTATGTATGTATGTATGTATGTATAGGTATATGTACATATATATATATACATACATATATATATATATAAATGTGTGTGTGTGTAGGTCAATATAGCCTACGGATTCCTGCGCACCAGCCATCACCAGTGCACCGACCGCACATAAGCAACAAAGGATGACTCTCCGAACCATTGCAAAGAGGCCAGACGGGCCGGGTTTTCAGCAGCTGTGGTCGGCGTCGGTTCCTCAGGCAGCGGTTTAGGGCTCAGGGTTTAAGGTTTAGGGTCGGGTAGAGTGTATGTCTTGTCTGTGGAGAAGAAACAGGTTCGACAGCAAACTTCGTCGTCACACTGCTAAGAAACTCCTCCTGGTTCTTTGGCGGGGCCCAAATTGAGATAGGGATAGAGTTTATCAAGGCACCAGCAATGCAGCAAATTGCTGACAAGCCGCATTCTGAGGCTTTGCCGCCGCCTGCACGAACACAACAATCATCAAGCCTTTCCTGAGCCAGCATCTTGAAATTCATAAGAGGACAAGAGGGCGTCCTACCTAGGTCCGCCTGGAGTCGATGAACTTACGATGTGGCCAGCCAGGATCAATGAAAATTGAACTGGCTTCGTCATTCTCAGCATCAGTTCTGATAACGCTTTATCCAGCAGCCGCAATCATGACCGCGTCTTCAACAACCCCCAATGACAAGTGAAGACACGTTCCGGTTACCAAGCCCAAGCCCCGCCGCCAAACTTCCTGCGTTCCACCGGCCTGGAGTGGGAGCCGTCTGAGATGTCTTCCCCGCGCAGGGGCCCAAGGAGGGGAGGAACAAGAACTCCTGCAGGAGCATGGCTCTGGGGTCCTGAACCTACTGTAGGCTTTAGGTCCTTTAGTTCTGGAAGTCCTGGGCAATGACCTTCAAACCCTTAAACACACCAAACCTAGAACCCAACGAAACCCCGAAACCCCAACCCAAAACTATCACTGAGGGGCACCTCCACGTGAACGTGCCATGCGAGACCCCCGGCCGAGCGCTTTGCGGCGGCCTGCGGTGGTAAGTAGGTACGATTGTAATCCTCAGGCTTTAGGGTTTAGAGTTTAGGATGTTGGGTTTAGGAGCTCAGGATTTAGGGTTTAAGGGTTTGGGGGTTAGGNNCCGGGGGGGGGGGGGGCACCAGCCGGGGAGAAGTAAGCAAGCTCAATTAGGTCATTCTTGTTAGAGAGCTCGATCTGACTCTGAGGATTGGGGGCTGCCGGTGTGCGCAGGACTCGTCCAGAACCACCACGGACCCAAACCATCCTAAAGTAGCTGAACCCTGCACACCCAGCAGCCATGTAACCCCTAAGCCGCTGCATCCCGACTTCAGTGTTAGGCTCTGAAACAAGCGGCATCACAGCTTTACCGTATACTTCTTCCTGACCCTCGACATGGGAGTGGCCTTAGCTGCCTCTGCAAGGCCCGGAGGGCCGCAAATGAAGACCATGGCCTCTGATTCTGCCATAGATACTGAGAGCTTCAGGGTTTAGGGCTTAGGGGAAAGCTTTGGAGCACAGACATACTTTGATGGGATCAATGAAACTGAGCAACGTCTGCCGTGCGATCTGACATCCAAAAGTTTTAACGGGCTTGTTTGGCCGAGCGGCATGCTTGACGCCTGCCTTGACGTACTCCCCGCCTACCGACTCCAGCCATGCTCCGATATCCTGCGGAGTGTCTGATTGGAATACGAGGTAGTACAGTATAGTAGAATAGTATAGTATAGCATAGTATTGTATTGTATGCAAAGTATCGTAGAGTATAGTACAGTATATAGCTATAGTACAGTACATTGCAGTATAGTATGGATATATGTATATATATATATAAGAGCATGCATGCGTATCTACGAACGACAACAGCTAGAATTTTGCTCGACTGGGCCTTATACTGCTCGGCAACTCATGATCCACGTACATCGCTTCTACATGCATTGCACGCTCAGGAATTCAATCCGCCAGGGCTGAGCGTCCTCAGAACCATATTTGGCGTTCAGCGGCATGCCACTCCCTGAAGAAGACAAGACGCGCAACGCTTTCTGCAACCAAGGTAGTGAAAGCTCCGGTGCAACAGTGTCTGTGTGTGGGAAACTTGCGCAATTGAGACCTGCAGGCATCTGCAGGTAGACAACGTGGAATAGGCTCTGCTGCGGCGTCCCCAACCCGGGCAAAGCTAGCAAACTTCCTACGACGATCAGAACAGAGAAAGCTCGCTGCTGGCCTCCCTCTTGCGTACCAGCACCTGCCCAAGGCGAGCCGAATATTGCTAGTAGTCAATGCAACACTACAGAGAAGCACCAAGCAGCAGCATCTGCTCTTTCAAAGGCAGAGTAAGCCCAATACTTAGTTGGCCTAGCACCCCCAGTTCTAGAACCGTAAGCCTGAAACTCAACAGTCCTTGAGTCTCCACCCCAGAACCCTCAACTCCAAACCCCCAAAACCCTCTACGACCTGCTACGTAGGTGATACCTACTTTCAGAGCTACTCGCCTAGATCCTACCTGGCCCGACCTATACTACCCGCTACCTCGGGATTAGAGTTTATAATGGGCTCATATACCTACTTACCCTGAAGAGCCCGAACTGGCTGGGACCCCGGCCGTTCAGCCGGATGGCGCTGAGATCCGCATCCAGGTGTGGCTCCTGAGCACCGGGTCTACACTTGGCGTGGGACGTTGACGGTTTATCCATAAGGGGTTGCATGGTAGGAGGCTCGGAACAGCCTGTGCTAAAGGCTGGGGGGGTAGTGCGCTCGAGGTGTCACCAAACTCGCAGCAGCGTCATGTTTCCAGAATTCTAGGATGAGGTCCGAGTCAAGTTGCCAGAGATTCCACGTCTTCAGAAGGCTTTTGGGCCCCAAGGCCCTCAAACAGTCATATCATGTCATATCCCTATATACTATGGATTATAACTATTACAACCATAATTGCAATCACCCAACTTATACCCCCCGCTGATAACTACCTCCAACAGTAACATGCTTCTTGCTCTTGGCCCGGAGAACCCGCCAAGGCGCCAGGAGGGGAGCTGATTTGTTGAGCAACTCAAGGCTCCTCAGGGCCCAGTACCTCGGAAGGGTGCAGGGGGCTAGGATGTACATTGACATACATGTGTACATGTATATGTAGATGACAAGGAAAATTATGCATACATATTTAGATATACATATATATATATATATTATAAATTATATATATATACACATATAGATAGATAGATAGATAGATAGATAGATAGATAGATAGATAGGTTTACCAAAATTGGAGAGTTTCAATGAGTTGGGGAAGTCATGAGGGGCGACCTGTATTCTTACCCCGTTCTTTCCGACCCGGGCCTGTTTCTTTGTCTTGCGGAGCAGCCGGTGAGCGGGTGGTCAAAGCAGGGGTGTCCAAAACAGCGGGGTGGCCAAAAAAAACAAGGTCAGGGGTCCAACAAAAACAGGACATGCAGGCCAAATGGAACTTAGCATGTTCGATGTACTTTGGGCTCATGGCTTGGATGTTCGTGTCTTCCGAGACCTGCTAAGCTTCTATGGAGGCTACTTCTTGTGCCTGCTTAGGTGCCGGGGAAGCTTTGGTTTCGACTTTCACTAAGTCAGGTGCCTGAGGGTTTAGGATTAGGGTTTAAGTGTTTGGGGTCTAGGGTTTAGGGCTGAGGGTTTCGGGTAGATGCTTGAGGAAAGAGTATCAAGCCTTGTGGGGCCTATGCTTTGGCACCCAAACCACAGCTGCTCCTCTTGCTTCCAGGGAGCATGGCAACCTGAATCATGGGAGCGGCTTCGAGTGGAAGGGATAAGACTCAACAGGACCTTCGGACGGCTCCTCTTCGCCTGCCTACCACTTATTGGTGCTCTGAGCTCGATCTCACCGTCTTGCGGATCCTCCAGCTACACTGTGCCAGGCCTTTGTTCCGGAGGCTGCTTCTGCTGCGGCTTTGGCCAGCGAGAGACCAGGCGTAATTCCCACACCTAGTGAGGGAGGGGAGGGCCATCAATGCTGGAAACATCGGATTGCTGCGAAGATAAGCAGAAGCCTCGACCGGTTCGCCACATAACCAAGAGCTGTACGTCTGACAGACTCAAGCCCTCCATCCCGAATCCCGAAAGCTCTGCTAACTCGACTAATTCAGCAAGACAGCGCATCCGGGGCCTCCAAGCACAAATACGGTGCGCTCCATCCCCGGCGCTGGAACGGACGGCCGCCCATAGGGGCCCTCCCGATCAAAACGAGTCAGCAGTGGCTTCACTGACATGAGACCAGGCTGAAAAGTGCTGAAAAGAGCAGCGGTCCTGAACTGAAAACTACAAATTACAATCATCATCATCATCAGCAGCAGCAGCAGCAGCAGCGGCAGAGTGGATGTTTTTGTCTTGGTGGCGGCATCATTAGCATCATGATGGAGACTGCGTACCACCATCTTCATACTGTTACGGCAGTCGAGGTCGTTGCTGCGGGGGCAATGGTTGCTGAGCACCGAGGTCGGACGAGCGGGGGAGGGGGGGCGAAGCGAAGCGCGGAGGAGGCTTACTAGCTGCACGGGGCGACAGAACAGCCGCAAGTCATGACCAAAGCAAACCGAAATCCCACATTCCCGGCAGTCCTCCAGCTTCATGGGAGGAGGGGTTGCATCCTGGGGTTGCTTGTGCGGTTGTACAAGTCAGACTATAACTTGGCTAGGCTGGTCGGCTCTTGGTGTTGAGTAGTACAACCAACGTCCAAGCCGGAAGTAAACAAGAGCATTTCGATGGCCTTCTGTGTAGATATGTCACACGGGGGATTCGTGCTTGCATTGATTGCGCTTCGACAGTCATTGCTCTCTGCAGCCAACCTCGACCTGCGAAGCTTCATAAGCCTCGGGCAGGGCTGCACAGCTTCGCCATCTTTGATGTGAAGCCGCTCCTGTTGATCTTCATAAAGATCCTGCAGAAGGGGTGAAGAAGCTGAAAGCCAGGCTTCCAGGTGTGCATCTTGCCATCTTTAGTTTTCTGGAGACGTCGGAGGAATTTGTAAGTTGTAAGGCTTTGCCTTGGCACAGAGGCCTACGCAACACCCCACAATCAGGTGCTCTTTGCTTCGAATGTCCTGACTTCGTCGCTGGTCTCGCCCGGGACGAGGGTGAAAGGGTGAGGCACAGGCGAAGCCTTGCCCACTGCGAGGTGAGCCCACTGACCGGCTTTGAACTTGAAGTTGGGAACTGACCTCATGGGACTTTTGGGGGTTTACGGCTTTTGTATTCAGGTCTTTCGGGTGTCGGGTTTTGCGGTTGAGGTTTTCAGTTTTAGGGAGGGACCCCCACGACAGAGGACCGGGCTCCGATGCCCGCGCTTCTGAACCTTCATGAACTTAACATTGCGGCTTACGAGAGCTCAAGTGCCACCAAGGTGCATGGTCAGGAAGAGGTGCCTCATGCAGCATCAAGACGCAGGTCAAAAAGTCTAGATAGCCACGCGACCGATTCGACACACCTGCCAGCAAAACACACACATCGACCAAGCTATGAAGAACAAATCTAACCTGGCGCCAGTCATAGTGAACCGTGCTCCCGAGCAACGATTGCTTCAACACCTCTAGAATCTGGAAGCTTGTGTGCGCAAACATCGCAGAGAAAGTCCGGGAAAGGTGCTGACCACCACTCTCGTTGACAAGCTCCGCCGTCTTCACGGTTACCTTGCCATGTGCCGCCTCTGCAAGGAATCTCAGCAGCCACAAGGTCAAACACGAAAGTACAACAATGTCTTGGCTTGTAAGGCACGATGGGTCACAGGACTTTGAAATTTCGGGCCAATGCATTTCCTTTTTGTTGCTCTGGCCTTGGTGTAGACCTTCTGGACAATGAAAGCCAGCATGGCAACTCCGTTCCCGACGGCCACAGAAATGGAGGCGATGGTTTGGAAGCTGATCGCATGGTCGAACATATGGATGAGGGCAGCGATGTATCCCCACCTGGGTCGTTGTCTTCTGTCGTATTTCTGAATCGGTACCTCTAGAGCAACCAAAAAGTTTCCCAAAGTGCCACCCAGCCACAGGCTAATGAAGTGCAGAAGCTTGAACTTGTCATAGCTCACGAAAGGTGCCGGCACCACTCCAAGGATCATCAAGACAGCGGCTGGCATGCCAACAACCCAGAAGGCATTCCTTACTCGTCAAGGGCCTTGGCCTAGTGGCCTAGTATCATCCTTCGGTATAATTGTTTTGTGGCCGAGGTGCTGCTGAATATCTGAGCCCTTCTCCGCGATTGCCACTGCCCCATGCACCTGGGAACTTGGTTCCGCATGCCATGTTCCCGTTCAGGGGTCGAGCTTTGGTCCAGAAGGGTACGGTAAGGGGAGACTGTTGAGCTCAAGATGGCAGCCGAAGGGCAACACCCAGAATGAGGGTCAGCGTGCCGATCGTAGTGTGGATGCGCCAGGCAGCTTCACGGGTCATGCCCACAAGGTCGTGCACGCCACCCTTGAAGTAGGACCACCTTCACCAGATTCCAAACAACAAAAACGCCACAAAAGCGTTCCTCTAGCAAGTTTGCGGGTCGTCACAGCCGCAACTGAGCCACATGATCGTGAGCATGGCGGCAATGCCCGCGGCGATGCCAGTCGACCTCATGGCCTGTGCACGGAAAAATTGGAAGAAATGGGAATGCTAAACATCCTGCTGGTAGCTCTGCTGTGGCTACCAGTAGAACTTGGTAGTGGTGGTGGTGGTGGTAGTAGTAGTCGTCGTCGTCGTCGTAGTAGTAGTAGTAGTACTAGCAGTAGTAGTAGTAGTAGTAGCAGCAGGAGGAGGAGCAGTAGTAGTAGTAGTAGTAGTAGGCG